TATGTGAATCCAGGCTAAAGGACTCTGCCGGATCCCAAAGGCTGGAAAGAGCCTTTCAGCGCCCTTCAGCACATCTACACATGCACATAATCGAGCACAATGTCATTCTTGCGTGGGTGGAAAAATTTTAAAGTGCCGCCCTGTGGCACAAAAAAGTAAAAAAAAAAAAAAAAAAAACAATTTTTTTTTTTATACAACTGTTGGAGAGGGAGGTGGCTGCAGCCAGGTGCAATCATTGTGTTTTTTGGGGTGAAGTACCATTTTAAGTCTGGGTCCCTGGTGGAGAGATTTCCCATCACTCTGTGTCCCGGAGCCATAACAGGAAGTGCGAAGAAACCTCTGCTAAGTGCTGGGAGATCTCTTCAGTTTTTTACCAAAACCTGTCCTTTTGAAAGATTCCTCCTCACTTCCTCTTCCAGTGACAAATGTAACATTTTGGATTTCATATCACCTTCTATACCCATGACAGGGGTCACCAGGAGAAATACAGAGGGAGATGCTTGCCGACAGTGACACAGACAGTAGGGTTGCCACCTCATCCCTTTACAACTGAACACGTATTAATTGCACAGGTTCTGAAACTAATTCTTTGCAGATAAGGCACTAAATTAATTTAATTACCACCTTGATAAGCCACAGAACCTATGTAATTAATATGTGTTCAGCTTTAAAGGGATGAGATGGCAACCCTAACAGACAGCCATAAAACTAGAGATTCTAACCCAGGGGTGCTCAGCCTTTTGAGTGAGGGCCACTTAAGTAATTTGGTAACCATGAAATGATATGGTGGAGGTTGCACAGGCCCCCTGGAGCATGTTGTGGGGGTCACCATTGCGACCCCTGATGCTATTTCAGTGGTTGGGGACTGTGGTAAAAACATGTCTCAACTATGGGGTTTTAATGTCCCCAAAACCACAAATGAAAACGAGCCCTTACTGTCCTGAGTCCTAAGGTTGCTTTCACACTGCTTTTCTGTTAGCTGTGCTTTGCCATAGACTTCTATTATATCTTGTGAGCATGGTGAACTTTCTGAAATTCAGGAGTTTTGGTGCACTTTCAAAAGCCATACCAAACCTGCAGGGTACAAAAGAAGTGCGCTTCCCTGGTATTATGTCAAGGGCCACATCAGAGGGCTATAAGGGCCACATGTGACCCATGTACCACAGGGTGAGCAATCCTGTTCTAACCCTTCCCTGCACTACCCAAACCCCCCCCCCCCCAAAAAAAAAAAAAATCCATGTACAAACCCCCCCAGTTTCCTGCCCCATCTCCCTTGTAGCACCCCTCTGCTAACCTTTTCTTAAAAAAGTCTATCTACGTACCTTTTTACCTGTGGTCGGGTGATATCACAGGCCCTCTTCTTCTCTTGAGCCCGGGGCTCTGATTGGCTGAATGCTGCTCCTCTGGTCCTTTATACCAGAGTTCTCCTCTGCAAAGCAGTACAGAAGGCCGATATACCTCCAATGAAGCCCCGGGATCCTGAATGCATGCAGAGATGGCGTTTCTGGCCTCATTTTGGCCTCGGATGAAGGCCTACTTTGCACATTTACTAATGAGAGACATTTCTAGTCAATAATCTAAGCATCTAGAATGAGTTTTTTTCTGACTCACCAGAGCTGACTCTTACACCGAGTAATAAATTTCATTCCATGTCATTTATTTACCTGCAGTGCAGTACTCTCTCTACTTTTTAAATCAAATCTTAATCAGTCCATTTGTCTCTGCTGGAAGCTGGCAGCCTTACAAAGTTCAGTAAAGTGCTGTGCGGCCTGCCTGGATATCTAGTGCACCTAGCGTGCCAGGCCTGCCACCCTCAAACATCTGCCAATGGCAGCATAGTCCTGCTGGACAGGTACTACGTATCCTTCCACAGCAGCTGAGGTTGAGGAGGGTAACTGGGACACGCATGGAAAATTGACTTACGGTAGAATCTGGAAGCATTGGAAATGAAGATGGGAAGCAAGGAGAGGTCTTCTCACAGCTGACTTTTTCTTTTTGGTGCCTTCTTTTACCCAATATGGCACATAGTAATAAGCTAAACAAAAACATCAAATGTATAGAAGGCCACCCAACCGTCTCCATTGAGGAAGACTTGAAGAGACTCTGTCACCCCGTTCATTAAGTGGCCAACCCCTTAACCTACCTTCCACACTTCCAGCACTCACATTCCGCTCCTTCCTTCATGGCCACCACTGTAAATGATGTATACCTTAATCATACAGTACAGGACACAGGGCTTGCATTCATAGACCATGAGTTATATGCAGGTTACCTTCAGATGACCGGGCACTGGTAAAGAAACTTGCTAGGGTGGCCCCAGTGCATGCTGATTTAACCCTGCCCACTCCAGTTTTCACTCCAGAAACTCTAGTTTCCAGTGTCCTTAGGTGATGGATCCCTTCTCCTTTAAAGTGGTTGTAAACCTCAGAAATGAAACATGATCAAGGCATATCCCTCCATAGTGTGTACTTGTCTCAATTAAGAGCACTAAGTGTCATTTCTGTCTGCTGCTTCGTTCCTCTGCTATCACATTTACTTCTAGCAAGTTTTCCTGACACCAAGAGGTAAAAAGATGACAGGGGAGGGAGTTCCAGCACACAGCCTGTGATTGACAGCCTCAGCTCTGTTTCTGTGTTCTGTGTGGAGAGGGTGTGTCTCCTCCTTCCAATCTGCTCTTAGAGCTCTCCATACTGAGCTCAGCATTGTGTAATTTAAGCTCTCTGCCCCCTGCTTTCTGAAAGCTCAGACAAGCTGTATAAATTATGCACTTTGAATAGATGTAGAGAAGAAAATACTGCAGATAAACAGGTACAACTTATGTAGGAGGATTTGTTTCATCTCTGTGCAGAACCTGAGGCCAGTCACTTCATTGGGTATATGTAGGGATTTACAACCACTTTAACCCTTTACAGGCCACAGGAGCCAGCCCATTAACAGGTTCCAGCCCGGCCTATAGTCAGATGGCGGCCTGAAAAACCCCTCGTCCCTCCGGGTGGACGCCATATGGCGTCTTTTTGGGCATGTGCAGTATGCATGCCCGCAGATCCGCGCAGCAGCACGTTCTGTCACCAGCCGTGTACCTCGGACACGGCGGATGACAGATCTGAGTACCGGCCCCGTTGCCGGTACCATGGGACCATGTGAATCACAGCAGGTCACATGACAGTTGTATACAATGGTTGGCTTCATTCATGCCATCCATTGTATACTAGTGTCTAGCTGTGAATGGTCACAGCGATCACATGCACAAGCTGGGCCAATCACAGCCCAGCTGTGTCATGTGATTAGCCGTGGCCAAATCACAGCTAAGCACAAAAAACAAAACAAAACAAAAAAAAAAACCCTGAATGAATCGATGTCATTCAGGTAAATGCTTGCTTATAGCAAAGTAATTCTTTGCTATAAGCAAATTGTGTAAAGAAAAAAAAAATACTGAATACTTCCCCAAAGTAGTACAATGTTACTATGGTAACATTATACTACTTTGGTCATAGTGAAATATGAAAACAAAAATCTTAAGAAAAAGAAAAAAAATGTAACAACAAATTAAAAATAATAAAATAAATAAAAAAAAATTAAAAATTATAATTTTTTTTTCATACTGTCACCAGTCAGTGTCCCTGTTCACCGCCATGCCAGTTATATGATGACGCTGTACTGCACTGGTGACAGTATGTAAAAAAAAAATAGTGAAAATAATTTTTTTAATTTTTTTATTTTCCGAAACATTATGACAAAAAAAATACAATGTCAAAAAACTCGCCATGCCTCTTATGAAGTACGTCGGACTGTCTACTCTGCAAAAAGGGGTCATTTGGGGGATATCTGTACTGTTCTGACATTCTTGGACCTCAAGATATTAGATTGGCTGTCAGTACTTCAGGATTGATCAATATTCAGATCTATACCATAGTTTGTGAACTCTATAACTTTCCTATAAACTAAAAAATACATCCTAATTTGGGTTATTTTCACCAAAGACATGTAGCAGAATACATCTTGGCCTAAATTTATGAGGAACAATTATTTATTTGCAAACTTTTATAACAGAAACAAAGAAAAACATGTTTTTTTTTCAAAATCTTTGGTCTTTTCTTTGTTAATTTAGCAAAAAATAAAAACCCCAGTGGTGATTAAATACCACCAAAAGAAAGCTCTAGTTGTGTGAAGAAAATGATAAAATTTTAGTTTTGGTACAATGTTGTATGACCGCGCAATTGTCATTCAAAGTGTGAGAGCGCTTAAACCTGAAAAAATGGCCTGGGCAGAAAGGGGTAAAAGTGCCCGGTATGTAAGCGGTTAAACATTCATAACTCTGGAGGCATTACATACGCTTCCCAGTCATGTGATCTCTGTGATTTATGGTCAACAGGGATCATGTATCTGGATGCCCACCCCTCTGGCTCAACAGTGACCAGGAGCTGTTGGTAGCAGCATAGTCACTGTCCTGGGGGGCACTGGTTCTGGGGAGCTTCCAGCAAAAAAAAAAAAACAAAAAACAAAATAACATTAATGGAGAAGTATAGCCAAAGCTCTTTTGGCTGTACTTCTCCTATGGATCACAGGAGTGCAGTTTGTTCTGAACTCCTGTGACCTGTTCTCCGCTGACAGCGGGCTGAAGCTGAAGCAGAGCAGACAGCGGTGACTGACAGGCACCGCTCTCTGCTTAGAGTGGCAGTCCTGTGATCGCTGAGTTCTCACACTTAGAGCTGGAGTGGGACAAATGCAGCTTTGGACCAATGCTACATCCACCTAGGTATGTATAACTGGGGAAAAAAAGCCCATACTTCTCTTTTAAGATCCACCACTGTGCTGCCACATACTATATGTTGCATGTTAATGGGTTAACCACTTGCCTACCGCACTCATACCCCCTTCTTTACCAGGACAATTTTCAGCTTTCAGCTGCTGGGCACTTTACTATTTGCGCTATAAGTAAAAAAAGTGCAAAAAATTTGAAAAAAAAAAAAAAAGTTTCTTTGTTTCTATTATAAAAGTTTTCAAACAGGTAATTTTTCTCCTTCACTGATGTGTGTTGATGAGGCAGCACTGATGGGCACTGATAGGCGGCACTGATAGGCAGCACTAATGAGGTGGCATGGATAGGCGGCACTAATAGGCAGCACTAATGAGGTGTCACGGATAGGCGGCACTGATAGGTGGCACTGACTGGCATCACTGCTGGGCACTGACTGGCGGCACTGCTAGGCATTGACTGGCACAACTGCTGGGCACTGACTGGCACATCCGCTGGGCACTGACTGGTGGCACTGACTGGCAGCACTACTGGGCTGCACTGGTGGGCACAGGTGGGTGGCACTGGTGGGCACAGGTGGGTGGGCACAGGTGGCTGGCACTGCTGGGCACAGGTAGGTGGCACTTCTGGGCACAGGTGTGTGGCACTGCTGGGTGGCACAGGTGGGTGCACTGCTGAGCACAGGGAGTTGCACTGCTAGGCACAGGTGGGCACACTGCTGGCACAGGTGGGCGCACTGCTGGGCAAAGGTGGGCGGAACTGGTGGGTGGCACTGCTGGGCACCGATCATCAGTGCCCTGATGATTGGTGCCGATCCCTGCTCTGACAACTGCCGGTTCTCGGCAGTACTTTCCTCACGCTCTGACCGCTGTGATTGGCCTTTTACCACATCACGTGATTAGCTGTGTCCGTTTGCCGGGTGCGCGCCCCCGGGGGAGTGCAGGAGAGTGCGTTCTGGGAGGATGTCATATGACACCCTCCCAGAACTGGCCGGCCGCAGTGTAGCCGTCATTCGGCTGTCTGCGGTTGGCAAGTAGTTAATTGCTAACTTGGCCCTTACACCTAACCTTACCCCACCTTAACCTAACCCTTAGAATTAACTCTTGCAAGTTAACTACCTAACCCAGTGGTTTCCAAATTTTTTTCACTTGGATACCCTTGGCAGCCCATCGACAAGAGGTTACATCTAACATTCACTAGCCTGCTTGTCATGTAGTGGAACCCCAAACCTGTGTGACAGTCGCCAAAATCATCCAACCAACTCACCCATCAAAGCCTCAAGCGATATCAGCTGCTGGAAAGGCCGATCCATATACCTGACTGTGCTTGGACATCATAATGTAGAGCGAGACTCCAGCTTTCCAACTAACTGAACAGTGATTGAGATGATCTGGCTCTGAAAGCTTTCCCAGTGCTAATTATTTAATAATCTAATTACTTCCTATTCAGATGCCAATTATTTTGGCAAGAGGTAGTCACTCTCTGCGGAATCCTAGCAAACAATGAAACTTTGCCGGCTATAATTAGACTGTACGTGAAAGGCAGGTTTCGGAAAAGGCCGATCTGCAAAATGTCCTGCAGATTACACGGGTGTCTAATTTATGGAATCTGCTGCAGATGGAGCTTTCTTGTGCTTTTAAAAGTATTGCTAGCGTAGCATGGTGTTTATCAAAACGAGATTAGTTCTAGTCATCTTCTACAAGTCCTGTGGATTTAACCGTGGCTGCATTTTTTTTTTTTTTGCTTAAAGAAAAATTCCACTAAGCACTGTTTGCATTTAAACTGCCTGTATAATATAACACCAATATCATTTTTCATGATCAGCCCTTTCTGAGACAAAACAATATTGTTTTAGGAGGTGTTCATGGTTCTATCAGCAAGGAATGAATGAGTGCAGATATGCCAAGCCTTCCTCGCTGTTAGAATACATTGATCAGTGCTCCCGGCTACAGGCGGCGGCACTGATCATTAGGGAAAAACCTAACAGGCTGGTTGTACAGAAGCTGATTAGTAGATCGACTTCTGTGCAACCAGTCTGCCCATACATGGATTGAAATTTAACTGGTCCCTGCTGAATAATTAGAAAAATAGGTAATGGTAGAGCAATTAAAAACATACACTCACCGGCCTCTTTATTAGGTACACCTGTTCAATTGCTTGATAACACAAACTACTGATCAACAAATCACATGGCAGCAACTCAATGCATTTAGGCATGTAGACATGGTGAAGACGACTTTGCTGAAGCTCTAACTGAGCATCAGAATGGGGAAGAAAGGAGATTTAAGTGTCCTTGAACGTGGCATGGTTATTGGTGCCAGACGGGCTGGTCTGAGTATTTCAAAAACCGCTGATTTCCTGGGAGTTTCACGCACAACCATCTCTAGGGTTACAGAGAATGGTCCTCAAAAGAAAGATGGCCTACAGCAGCAGAAGACCACACCGAGTGCCACTCCTGTCAACTAAGAACAGAAAACCGAGGCTACAGTTTGCACAGGCTCATCAAAATTGGACAATAGAAGATTGGAAAACTGTTGACTGGTCTGATGAGTCTCGATTTCAGCTGCGACATTCAGATGGTAGGGTCAGAATTTGGTGTAAGCAACATGAAAGCATGGATCCATCCTGGTAGTGTAATGGTGTGGAGGATATTGTTGCTGACCATGTCCATCCCTTTATGACTACAGTGTCCCCATCTTCTGATGGCTGCTTCCAGCAGGATAATGCACCATGTCACTAAGTTCAAATTATCTCAAACAGGTTTCTTGCACATGACAATGCGTTCACTGTACTCCAATGGCCTCCACAGTCACCAGATCTCAATCCAATAGAGCATTTTTGGGATGTGGTGGAACGGGAGATTCGCATCATAGTTGTACAGCCGACAAATCTGCAGCAAGTGTATGATGCTATCATGTCAATATGGACAAAAGGAATGTTTCCAACACCTTGTTGAATCTATGCCATGAAGATTTAAGGCAGTTCTGAAGGCAAAAGAAAGGTGCACCTAATAAATTGGCCAGTAAGTTTATAAACCAATTAGCTCAATGGGGCACCATCCCTACTCAAATCAACCAGCAATCTCCCACTCACAACTCCACCAGAATTGTGGGAGGAGAGAGAGGAATACAATCAGACTTTAAGTGAGCCACCAAGGAGAGTGCAAACAATATGTGTAAAACACAATTGTTTTATTTACAAATATTAAAAACAAATAGCATATTAGGAAATGGTCCCTGCTTAACCAGTTAAATTTCAATGTATGGCTGCCATAAGCAATCAAATTGGCTTGATCTTTGGTATCAGCCTTTTTCAATCTCCAGAACAACACTCATACTGGGATAAGGTAACTGTTGATAGGAGAGAGCTAAGTGAGCGCAGGGATGATCTTATGGGGTTTATTTACTAAAGCTGGAGAGTCCAAAATCAGACTCCCTTCTGCATAGAAACCAATCAGCTTCCAGGTTTCATTGCCAAAGCCTCATTGAACAAGCTGAGGTTAGAAGCTGATTGGTTTCTATGCAGAAGGGAGTCTGATTTTGGACTCTCCAGCTTTAGTAAATAAACCCCTATGTGTCTGCTTCTGCTCTTTCACTGTCCATTTGGTAGTCTTTAATTGGTGTGGTGTTATCTGATGGGCTGTGTTGTGTGGCAAAGCTGTGTAATTCTCAGGACTGGGGAACAGAAAAGCAAAACCTTTAGAAGGTAAAACATCTTCATGTGTTTCCTTTGTATATATAACTGTTTGCCTGAAGTTCAACTTTAAAGGACCACTGTACCTAAGGTTGAAAATGACCAGAGTATGCTTACACATAGGAATGCATAGGGCCGCAACATGCATGCTAGGTCTGCACAGTGAAGAGTGCTGGATCAAGGAGGAAGAAGTATTTGAGCTGGGGTGCTGCATTTCGGAGATGCTGGGAACTGATGGAAGGACACTTGTTCTTTGAATGGAAGTTAGATTTGTGATGCAGATTAATAATCCCATGGGTTTTATATCCTCCCATATCCCTTTGTGCTCTCGGCCTGCCACATACGTCTCTAGCAAACCACAAGAACCCAGGATGGCCATTATTCTCCATGGCTTTTATACATTACTGGAGGATGTGAACACTACCTAGCCTTGGGAAGGGAACGTCCTGTCATCTGTACCTGAGTGTCAGGAAAGTACTCACCGCTGGTGGTGCTGGGGCTTACCTGCTGTATGGGCTGCAGTATCAGTTCTCACCAGCGGGTGCTTTTCAGCAGCCAGGATCTCACTCCTGCAATCAAGCCATCACCTGAGGCTGATTGCAGGAGGTGTATTTAAGCAGTACCAGGCCTGCAAGCAGTGCCTTGGTGTTTTCCCATGAGCGCCTGTATCTGCATCCTGTTGTCTACCTGCCTGATCCCCCTGCTTGACTCCGACTCTGATAGAACTCCGCTTGCACCGACCCCGGCTATTCCTGACTATTCTCCTGCCTGCTCCTTTTGTACTTTATCCACCCAATTGATCCTGACCCGGCCTGTCTGACCATTCTACTTCTCCACCTCTGTCTACGCCTGTGTTCCTGAGCATCTAGTTATTAGTTGAAGGTTGTTTTTTTCTGTATATTGGTGTAAGCTCTTAATAAATTATATTATTACATCATTCCTGCAGTCTGCTATTCCCTGTGTCAGTCCACACATCTCAGGTCATACCTGGATCCGTGACACTGTGCTCCATATTACTATTTTTGAAATGAATAAGAAGGATGTTGGGGGAGGGGTTTAAGGTTATTTTTTTTTTTTTTTTTAAATAAAAGTATAATTACATTTTTAAATCCCAGCTCCATCTGTCACTTCCCTTCACATCCTCTCCCCCACACCCTACCTTTCTTTCTTGAGTTTTCTTTTTTAGTAAACAATGTTTATACATTAAGTGCCCGGTCAAACCGGGTGCAACTTGCCATGCAATTTGCCATGCCATGCGAGTTTGAAATCGCAAGTTGCACCCTGTTATCTGCAGCTAAAGTGGTTATATTGGTGCAATTCCGACTTGGTCAGAGCCACACCGATTTCTAAAATAGTGCATTCACTACTTCAGGTGCGACTTGCATAAAAAGTTGTGTCTTGCAAGTCGCACCTCAAGTAGGAATGACATCCGACTTTGAAGAAGTTGCACGATTTCAAATTTGGATCGGTGTGACCGGGGACCAAATCTCACCCATCTTCCCGTCTCTCACACTTCGCTTTTCCTTTCTTCTCCCCTGTGCCATTTCTTTCCTTCTAACCTCCCTTTCTTTTCATTCCTTTTCTTCCTCCCTCCTTCCCTTCTTTCCTCTCTTCATCACTGTCCCTTCATTCATTTGCTTCTCCCTCCCTCTCTCGCTTTACCTCTCTCCCTTTCTCTGCATTCTTCCTTCATTCCCTTCCCTTCCCTTTCTTTTCTTCATCAGATTTTTTCTTTTTGCTAAATGTTTATGCATTATATCTCAACTTCACAATCCCCTCTCCCATACCTTTTTTTTCTTGCTCCTTCTCTCTATCCTTCCCTTCTCCCTCCCTTTTCCTTCCTTCCTTCCCTCCCCCCCACCCTTTCTTCCTCTCTCTCTCCCACTTTTTATTCCTTTTCTTCCCACCTTCCTTTCCTTCTCCCTCCTTCCCTTCCTTCCTTCCTTCCTTCCTTCCTTCTTTCTTTCCTCTCTCACTTTCTTTCCCTCCATTCCTTCCTCCCTTCTCCCTCATTCCCTTCCTTCCTCTCTCCTTTTCCCTTCATTCCTTCC